GCTCTTCCTAATGCAGCCCAGGAGACCGTTGGCCTTCTTGGTCACAAGGGCACGTTGCTGGGTCAGGGTCACTTGTTGTCCACCAGGACCCCCAGGTCCTTCTCCGCAGAGCTGCTTCCCAGCAGGTCAACCCCCAGCCTGTACTGCTGCACAGGGTTCTTCCTCCCTAAGTGCAGGACCCTGCCCTTGCCTATGTTGAACTTCGGGAGGTTCCTCTCTGTCCATCTCTCCAGCCTGTCCAGGTCCCTCTGAACAGCAGCACAGCCCTCTGGTGTGTGAGCCACTCCTCCCAGTTTTGTATCATCAGCGAACTTGCTGAGGGTGGACTCTGTCCCTTCGTCCAGGTCATCGATGAATAACCTGGACACTACTGGAGTCAGTCTTGACCCCTGGGCTGCACTGAGAGCTTCAGGCCTCCAACTAGACTCTGTGCCACTCATCACAACCCTCTGAGCTCTGCCATTCAGCCAGTTCTCAATCCACCTCACTGTCCACTCATCCAGCATCATCAGCATTCCTGAGCTGGCCTGCGAGGATGTTCTCGGAGACAGTGTCGAAAGCCTTGCTGAAGTCCAGGGAGGCAACATCCACTGCTCTCCCCTCACCTACCCAGCCAGTCATTCGACCCTAGAAGGCAATCAGGTTGATTTCCCCTTTGGGGCTCCATGCTGACTACTCCTCATCACCTTCCTGTCCTTCACGTGCTTGGAAATGGTCTCCAGGACAAGCTGCCCCATCACCTTCCCAGGGGTCGAGGGGAGACAGACTGGCCTGTAGTTCCCTGGGCCCTCCTTCTTGCTCTTTCTGAAGGCTGGAGTGACATGTGCTCTCTTCCAGTCCTCAGGCACCTCTCCTGAGCACCATGACCTTTCCAAGATGGTTGAGAGTGGCCTTGCAAGGACATTGGTCAGCTCCCTCAGCGCTCGTGGGTGCGTTCTGTCCGGGCCCATGGACTTGTGGATGTCTAGTTTGCTAAAGTGACTCCTAACCCAATCCTCCCAATCCTGTGCCTGTCCTATCACTGGACACCACTGAGAAGAGTCTGGCCCCATCCTCTTGATACCTTTCCTTCAGATATTTAAATGCATGTACGAGATCCCCTCTCAGTCTTCTCTTCTCCAGACTGAACAGTCTCAGCTCTCTTGGCCTTTCCTCATATGAAAGATGCTCCAGTCCCCTCATCATCTTTGTAGCCCTCTGCTGGACTCTCTCCAGTGTCATGACTCTGTTGTACTGGGGAGCCCAGAATTGGACCGCTGTCCCCAGAGCTCTGAAATCCTGTTTGATAGTTTCCAAGTTGCCCACTTGGTATCGTTGGTGCCCATGTGGAAGAGCAGCAGAGGGCAATAGTCGGCCGTGTGGGCAGGCCTCGACAGTCTCTCCATGACATCTCGGATTCCAGCCCCCAGCAAGCAGCAAACCTCTCTAGACAAGAGGTCAGGCTGGCAGACGGGTGCCTCTGTCCCCTGCAGCAGAGAGTCACCCACAACAATCACTCGCCCCTTCTTCTGGGCGATCCTGCGTGGCACAGGGTCCGTCAGCTCCGTTGCTTCACTTGAAGCCGTGCCCAGCTCCTCCTCAGCTTGGAGGGCGCTAAACCTGTTCGTCAGCTGCGAGTCTTCAGAAGGAGCAAGAGCCTTTCTCCTCGTAGGAGAAGGGACCAGTTTCCAGCCTTCATCTTCTACAGAGTTATGACTTACTCTTCCACATGCCACAGAGCCCACCTGCATCTCCGCTGCTGGGAGGGGGCTGAGGCTCCTGAAGCTGTAGGGTCTCTGGGAATATCCTCTCTATCTCTCGCTTGTCCTCTCGGATGCTACGCAGCCTGCTGACCTTCTCCCGCAACTCCTTTACCTGGCGACCCAACTCATCAGCGACAGCACACCTTCTGCAGAAAAGTTGACTGCCAGCCCCAGCCTCCCGGAGAGGCCCCAGGGGGCCCCGGCCGAGCTGCGTCCGCTGGCAGAGGGTCTGTCTGGGTGGAAGCCTCCGACATGGCAGACGCAGACGCGGCGACTCCAACAACTACCGGGGAACGTGCTCTGCGGTGTGTCATAACCCTCGCCGAGGAAGCGGACGCTACTAAGCCTGGAGACAAAGGCGCCTTCTTGCTCCCTGCTGCGTCCGTTCGCGGCGCTCGTCCTCCTCCAGCTGCTCTGCCCCACTTGGCGCTGCTGGCCTTGGGGGGACCCGGGTGTCCCAGGCAAGCAATCCACCCTGGCTTTGGGGACAGGGCCAGGCTCTGC